GTGGTAGGTTTCTGTATACTCTGTGGTACATTGAAGAACAATGTGCTTAATTCTCTGTACAGCTGGTATGTTTCCTTGCACTTTCTCCAGATTAGGTTCAAGGGCCTTGTCACGTGGCATTCTGCAAATGAAGCCCCTCATGCTTTAAATGAACCACATCTTGGGACGCTCCCTTGGGCGCTCCAACTTGAATAATACAATAGCACATTTATCAGCTAATATTAATGAGACTGTTGCGTAGAAACAGGAATAATGTACAGTAATGTTGCCTACTCTTCCGCAGTAAGAAGGGTTTCTAAACGGCAGAAGCGTCTCCAATGCCACTGAGATTTTCCAATGGACCCTAAAGGATACAATGATTAATTGTGGCTTCTATCTTTAGGTGATCATTGAGATAAAGTATGCACAGGCGACGTGGCAAGACTGAAGGAGCTTACCATAAATAATCATGCAAAATTTAAAGACTTTTTGGGCACTCTGAACAAGTACTGTCCTTATTAGCTTACACAATACAGGTGCAGTGTCATATTGAGGTCAACTTCTGTATCTCAATGTACAGTATATGTATAAAATCGTGGGACACATTCCATTTTTATATAATTTACACATATTTTCTAGAACAATGACATTTATTTGTTTCACATATCGATTAATCTAAACGATCTGGTCATAATTACCTGTATGCTCTTCTTAAGCCTCTGTTTACAGCTCTGCAGAACACACACGTATGTTTCAAAAAAAGTGAATGGTCTTAATGTTTTGTTTACACAGTCACACATAGTGTATGCAGATTGCTGCCCCTGCAACCTGGCAACGGATAAAGCGAAAGAAAATGGATGGCTGGACAGTTTCCCACTGTCTATTTGATTTTATGATCATGTTTTTATTTACATCTTGATACATATTTTGGTTATGCGCAGTGCGGTACGGAAGCATATTAGGAGTCCAAATTGAACTGAAACCAGAGAGGTTAGTGTTAAGACCCGTAAGCCTTAGGATGAGATTCCTCGAATGTGCAAACTGGACGTTTCTGACGTAAGATCGAGACTCTGAGGCTTTTATTGCACTGTTGTTTTTGAAGGATTAAGTCTTAGTTTTAATACATAAGAGGTATTGGCTGAGATTAACTTCCTTATCAGCTAAAGTAGGCTTTTGTCAAGTCATTTATTCTATTTACATTTTTATTTCTAATATCCTCAATCTGTTTATTCTGCCAGATCTAACAATAACAAAGTCTTATTAGCATCCAGATTCACAGTGTTCTAATCTCTGGGTGCTACTGTATACAGTGCAATGCTATTATGTTGTTTTCACAGGAATTCCACACAAACAAACTGTTTTTCCCAGAGCAATGAATCGTGATTACAGGAATAAAAACACACATTGTAAGTGCCCACATGTACTGATACAGTATATTGTTTCCTGTTCACACTTTCAAGCTTAACCTTTGCAAGGCGCATGAGTACTGTATGTGGAAACACACGGACACATTCTTTGCTTGGTTGAAAATGAAAGTGGAAAGCCAATAGCAAAGCAGACACACTTTCAGAAAGGCCAAAGATCTCAACAGCAACAAGACAAACCACAGAGCTCCAATATGAGCACATATACAGTACATGCATTCAGCATTCAGCATTCAGCCAATACTCTAAGTCCAATGCCAGTTCTCATTTTCATTTTAAAGTAGATGTCTGCAACTTCAATTGTATTACTGTACATGTTTTTAAAGAAAGCATATTTATGACCAAATGGCCATGTAGTATCACATAAAGTAACTATTTCCTAATTCTTTATTACAATACATTTGATTCATCCAATTAGAAAGCAGCCAGGCCAGGGTGAAAATCTGCAGGTCTAACCAGGAAAATATTCTCTCTCTTTATTCATAATTTAAAAACTAACTGACTCACTTTAAGAACCATATTAACTTATCAAAGTGAACAAAACAAAGGGCTTGTGATGAACCTAAAGGAAAATGTGACAGGATGCTTGTAATTTGTTCCTCCTACAGATGATAACTCTGCGCTGATACTAGGTGTTTGAAATGAATTATGTGTACTGTTTAAATCACATGAACACATTGTACAGTGTTTAGCCTATTCTGAACAAAGATAAACATTTGTTTATCAAGCACGATTTAGTCAGCACAGTCTTAACAACATTTGCATTTGTCTTTCTTAGACAGGAAACTGCAGAAATACTCATAAGATTAAATTAGATTCCGGCACAAAGAACGATTAGTTTTATGCACTTGTGAACAACTAGAGATTTGGTCTCATAATGGCTTCATTTGTAAAAGGAATATACAGCAAAACTTACAGGGAATTGTAAACCAATATGAAGCTGCCTTGTGTGCTGGGACATCTGGGGATAGTAGATGTTAATAAAAGCTTTGTGCTTCTGTATTCTGATTAACGGCAAATAGCTGTGTTTATAGAACAACTTTCTGCTTTTTCTCCAATATACAGCATTATTTGTCTAGCAAAAGACAAATATGAATTGACTTTTAAATGATTTAAAATGATAACAATGACACGTTGTGGCATTTCAAATCCTGTAGAAATTGTACTCAGTTGAATATTTAGCACATGTTTCATATAAGGACAAACAGACACATCTGTGTTTCTTATTGAGTGTCTGGTTTGTCTTTCTGGGAGACGCTCTGACACACATCCCCATTCATTTTGAGCAATGATCTCATTTACATCAGTAATACTGCTCGTCTCAAAGTGCATTAAATAGTCATGATGTCTCGCCTAAGATGGCTTCATTCTCTACGCAGTTAATGTCACACAAACAGACGTGGAAACATATTGCACGTGATCGATTTGGGTGTTAATCAAAGGCAGTGCTACAAGGACCATGAAGTGGGCCTGTCAGTTAGAGTTTTACACCTCTTTGGCTGATGGCCGCTCTCTAACTCTGAACTGTACAAGCTGGGCTTATCCCTTCTGGCTGAGCCTGTGTATATCTCACTTCTCCCAGTTACACCATGTCAGCATTAGTTTACTTTGCCTCTCTGCGGGGCTTATTGAGTTTTCAGACTTAATTCACTGTTTCATCACTGATCAATGTTTTATCACTGTTTTATCTTGACAATTGAACAATTGCCTAAGCTGTTTTACTCAGCTAACATTGGACTCCTGAGGCTTTCAGTGTGTAAAAAAGCCTTGAAGTGCTGCCCGCAATTTATAACACTTGTATCCAGCCGACTCGGTGCAGCGCTCACTTATTTATGTGAGAGTTGCATACCGTCTTTGATCTGGAATTGGTAGTGCTTTACACATCTAGGTAAAGGAAGGACTATAGTCAATATTTGCCCAAGGGTTATTTCATTTGGACAAGGAATTTGATTCATACATTAAAAATTCCAATTACCCTGTCAAAAGCTGAGGGCACCCAGAGGAGGCAGCTTTAATCACACGGCTTTATCAAAGACTTTAAAATGAGTTGAACATGAACATGATCATACATTTGGCCTGGGGGAAGGTGATACCCACTAATCTGTCCTAAGAGTAAACATTTAAAATATTTGATGAATTAATGTTTGTTTTAAATATAGCAAATCAAAATAGTACATAATGAGTTTTATTGGATTTTCTGATTTACACTGACTCATTCTCATTTGTATATTTCGTGACCAGTCAAAACCACACAATTTTACAATACATTCAAATGTCTGAATGCCCAATTAGCTGATTTCATGAGCCATGTTTGGTCACATTTGATTGGAGAGCTAAAGATCCAATCGGAGAAAACCTAAGGTGGCTGCAGAACTGCATCTTGCATATTTATAAAAATATTCCGTTCTGGCCAGTCTTTTATCAGCCAGAGTACATGGAACCAATATGCTTGATCCCAGACCCTTCTGAATTTGAATGTGTATGTCGAGGAGCCTGGCTGGCCATCATGTGATCATAGCTGTCTATCTGCGTGAACAGCACCCACATCCACTAAAAAAATCATCACAAGAAATCTCAACCTCTTTACGGACACTTCAACAAGATTAAATAGCAAACCTCACCGCCTGAGCACATGTTTTTTTCCTTGCTTACATTTCATGATCCTGTTTGTCATAGAGGTGACCATCAATAACAACCACACAGTCAAATGTATGAGAGAACTAAACATCACTAACGCTGCTTCTGGCCTCTACTGGACTACAGACCCGAATATGTTAAATATGTTCTTTAAATTAGCCTGATTGCTGTTAAAAACTATTTGTGGAGATGTCAGGCTTGATTAATGTGAACATACCTCTTTTTGCTCCTTAGTTGCATATTTTGTTTTTGAATATTTGTTTTTGCTATCACCAGCATATGGAAAAGGAGCACACAGCATAATGCGGATACTGTGTGTATATTCAGCAGTGTAACAGGCAGATGCTGAGTCTTTGTGCTAACAAACATCTCTGTGGTCAAGAAGAAATGGATCATATTTTGATCGGTGGGTGGTCACAGCTGGACCAGGCATCTTACCATTTCTGAATCTATTTCACAAAGATATTACCCACATCTGAGTCGCTGTCATACATTTCCCATTCCATCTTATCAGCAGCTGGGCATGATGTCTGGCACAGCAAACAAAGAGTGTGGAAAGTCCTTAAATATAGCATGAAATTGGAGGTACGCCTGTGTAGGTACAGCTGCTCAGGTCCAGCCGCCGCACACGCCTCTCATTAAAGTAGGCTGCTCTGGCAATCAACACTTTTTATGCCCAAAATGACTTCATTCATTTTCCATTATAGGGGGATAAGATAAAATACACACACAAGAGGCTATTTCTTCACATCACATTTGCATACATGGAGCAGAGCAGCAGAGAACTAGCTTCATATTAGCTGTTTGGTCATGGTGGTTTAGCGAAAAGGAATTAAACTTATTTTCAAAACATCTAAGAGCTGCATATGTACGCAATTTTAGTGGATTATGGGGTGATTGGCATGTGTTTATAAAAATAGTGCGAGTAAGAATTAGTTTTGATATATTGGGAGCACTTACCAGGAAACTGATAGCTGTAGCTGGGTGTGAATCCAGTGTATCCACGGCCGTATGTTGCCACAATATTGGGATAACCTGAAAATAAAACAGGAAAAATAGCGTGAGAACACATTTTGAATTTGTTCATCAATAATACTGTAGATAGATGTCTGTTTGATAAGAACAAAACAAAAAACACATAAAAAGAAACCAAACAAAGGATTTGATTTTATCAGAACATATAAAAGAAAACAAGAATCAGACGTGGTCAAAAATCACAGATAAAAGGCAGCGCTCTTGCGTCTTCGCTGTCTCCATGTAACTCATTTTAATTCAGTCGACCATAAGTTGTTAGACGTTTTTATAGCCCTCTATAATAACACTTTATGGCAGGCGCCGCACAGTGACGCTGGTGTCTGTTTATGTCTTGTTCTTTTTCAGATCGACACAGGAGCAAATGTACAAAATTAATATAACCGTTTTTTTTTGTTTTTTTTTTACATCCCTTGATATAATTTGAATATATAAAAAAAGAACTTTTAAAATATTCAGGGATTGCGCTTCAGAGCGCTTCAGAGCTTCAGAGCTCCTGGGTGGAGCCTCCAGGCCTTTCTGTGTGGAGTTTGCGAAGATTTCCACCTCCAGGCCTTTCTGTGTGGAGTTTGCATAGGTTTCCTCCGGGTGCACCGGTTTCCCCTTCCGCTAAAAACATGTACAATATTTTTGAATGTAATGAGAGAGTGAATGGTGATGGGGCTTTGATGGCCCAGTGTGTTTGCCGTTTCGCTTCAGTCCTCACTGTGTGTGGAGAGAATGAAAAAATATCTGGACTCCAAAAACATTGTAAAGCGCTTTGGTGACCATAGTCTGTGAAATGCGCTATATAAATAAAAAACAAACAAGTTTTTTGTTCCACCAAAAATCACAAGTTGTCTTGAAGGGCAACTTAAAATTATACATCTAAAGTGTAAAGCTTTATTGAACATTTTGAGATATAGAAAAACAGTATGCATTCAATGTGAGTATTTAATCCCATGTAAGAAACTGGTGTCATTGGACAATTTTAAGAGCAGCAGATGCATTGTTCATCTGCTGTCATGATTCTTATTACAACCGCAGACCCAGCAGTTAATTAGCTGGACACTTTTCAGGCCCCAGCAGCTGTGGGCAACATATTGAGATCCAGGGTGTGAGCGTGTGGCCAGCAAGAGCCTTCAGTTCTGAAATCTGAAAGAACAACTGTGACAATGTGGAAAACCAAACACAAATAATCCCATAATTGCACCTTGAGTATCATTTCAGCTATTATAACTAGGAGGTTCTCCGGCAATGAGAAAAAGGGTTTATCGAAGTATTAAATCCCGAGTCAATAATGTATCCATAGAAGAGTGACTTCCAAAGCCGAGCCAAAGTCGACCTGTAGCACTGCTTTATATATATATATATATATACATATATATATAACTTATATATATGTATATAAGCTTGTATTGTTTTATGTGCATGGTGGATGGACATGGCATGTGTGCATGCTCTACTCTGTATGCCTCAGAGCCAGTGCCGGCTGGAATCAGAAAGGTTGACCTTGGTCATAAATATCTAATCAGTGTTTGCTGTCCATGAAAAAGTTCAATTTATTCGTGACCCAATGGGAAAATGCGTCTCAGACCCTCTCTCGTCTCTCTCGCAGACAAAAAGAAATGCGCGTCTGAGCTGAGTGAGGGGAGCGTAACCTGGTCTGGATGAGGTAGGATGGAGGCTACAGCAAAAAATAAAATCTTCATCAGTCACTGATGAGAAGTCATCACCAGGAAGCCACAGATGGATAGCTTTCACGAAAAGCCCTTACTGTTTGTTTGCTCTGAAAGAACTGTTATACTAGAGAATGAAAAGCTATTACAGAGCACCAAATAATGGATATGATGTGTTTGCTACTGTCTTACAGTCAAGCACTGTAATACTAGCTGAAATTGACGGCTTATATACAGGAGAGTATCCTTAAACTGCTTTTTCCAAAAGGATTTCCTTGCATAGATTTCCCTTGCACCTCACATGTAACAGGACGAATTAGGTAACGGGACTCTTAATAGAGAATCGAGACATACTGAGTCAATAAGGTGTTCTTATTGTACATTTTGAAATGTACGAAAGAACTGAATGGAATGATGAAAAAACAGGCTCTTCAAACGTTTTGTAAATGAGTTTGTTATTGTGTACGGCCTGGTGATGGCCTTGTGTGCTCCCATTGCCTTATTAATATGCATGCTAATGTACCTATTTTATGGCTCAACAGTTCTGATTCACTTTAAAATCAATTATCCATCTGCTGCAGCCATACCTCGAGCAGCTCAAATGTGTATTAATTTTGGCAAACATACATTGCGCACAACACAATAAAGATAAATGCCCCGATAAGAAGTGGTAAACAAAGGGGCTAAGGATGGCTTTAATGAGATTTGGCACAAAAGAAGCTTACACTTTCTTAAATAATGAGCCTGGGGTCCATGTTTTTTCCAAATGCAAATTATATAAAGGAATGTTTCGTTGTCCTTGTTCCAATTTCATTTAGATAAGCGCGTCTCCAAACAAGTTGCTGGTTAATATTCTCACATGAGCACATCACTGCCTCCGTGCTGTCGTGTCCCAGTGGAGGGGAAGAGTGCACGCCTCTCTCTACACAAGCATTAGGCGGCGATAAGTCTGGAAAAGTTCACTGTGCTTGTTAAATACAGCCAACAGATGAGATGTGGCACACTCAGATAGAGCTGACATGAGGCATTCGAAAGGGCTTTGCAATGCTTTAATTACAAACAATGGAAAGGTCAAGTACACTGTTAACTTCTAGTCTTTTGTAAATGCAGAATTTATGGGAAAACTCAAAAGACAGATATAATGTATGTTGATACAGATTAAAACATTTAAATTAAAGAGATTTAAAGCTGATTTTGTTTGCAAATAGGTTGTATGGGACAGGACTGTGTAAGTGAGTATGCTTGATTTTATATAGATAGCTCTATGGACCAAACAAGCCATTGTCTGAGTGTTGGCTTATGTTGAAGTGAATATATGTGAGGTTATGACTATATGTCCATAACCAACAATTTATTTATTTACAGAAACAAAGCCTAAAACATGCATCAGTATTGTTATTTTCAAAGCCTTTGTACTATTACCTGATACAGACGAAACTGCACCTGCTGCCAAAGGAAAGAGGAGCCGTGCATATTCACACATAAAGAGAGCCTTTTATCATCATTCCCTTTGCATTTGAGATGGCTGATGAATCTTTTAAGTGAGGGCAAATTCGTTTGAGAGGGTCGCACATACAAATGACATGAATGAATGAAAGGCAATGGACAGGCAGGTGCAGGCGGACAGATCGCACGGACACGGAGAGAGAATGCTGCAGGAGAAAAGTGCAATAGTGTTAAATAAAGGGGCTTGGGGCAGGGTCTGGATGGTAATGAAGAGCGGTGGGCAGCAGCTGAGGTCCCTGTAGATGAGATCTCTCGCTGACATGTGTGTCCCCTTCATTACCCATTAAGGGGGGCACAGTGATGAATCCTTAATATGACATTACACCAATTTTCCTCTTCATTTAGCCTGCTAATGTGCTGGTCTGCTTCTATATGCCCAGGGGCGGCCCAGCCCCACACTCCACCAGAAATAGACCGCACTGGCCACCAGTGGCACACCTTCACGCTGCCTAATTAGGGGCAGTGCCCACCTAATGGGGCTACCTGGAGTACTGTTTGCATAACCTCATTTTGTAACAGGTAGAAATAGATGGTTATTGCATGACACACCAGTCTGACATACAGTATTGCATTGCATTATCTATAGCAGGGGTGCCCAAACCTTTTGCTTCCAAGGGCCAAAGTGAAAATTTGCCTGTGGGCCGCGGGCCAAAAATACCAATATTACACGTGAAACACAAATACATGTAAATTTGATCAAGTTCCTTTAATTACTGTTTAATAATTAAATGTATTAATTAATGTCTATCAGTGTAAATCACAGCTGAATGAATGAAAACAACTCATTCTCAGTGAAGGGGAGGCTCAAGGGAAATACGCTGGTTTCGAGGAGACTACAGTACGGGAAGATTCCGGTCAGAGAATCAGGGCACAGAGGAGGGAGATTTTCTGTTGTGGCTTATTTACAGGTTATAATCGTGTGTGTGTGTGTGTGTGTGTGTGTTCTGCAATAAAGGACAGACAATATATACAATGAGTAACTGTATGTAGCAACAAGACATATACTATAATCATATAACAACTATAAATTGGGTCTATTGCTCCTAAAAAGTTACAGACATGCCCTTTAATTTTGGCACAAGACGCAGCGGCAGATTGTAACAGACGTAATTAATAATAAACTAGTAATAGAATGAACTTTGAACTATAAATTAGCAGCAAATTAGAATACCACTAAAAGTAGGTACATCACAAATGATAAATTGTGACATAAGAAAACAGAAGTAAAGTCTGTAAAGTACACAGACATATGGCTAAAGCTGCACATATATATAAACAAGTCATACATGGTCCTTACTTTCTGGCCATTAACGCACACTGACACACTGGGAACAACGTGAATGTGGAGGCTCAGGCTGCGTGTTGCTCTGACAACAGCTACGTGCTCAAAAGCGAAGGTACTTCAACACTAGGGGTGCACTTCTCCGCTTGGCTTTCCTTTACTTTCCTACAAGCCCAAAAGGCTCATGGGGGATTCTCTCAAATTGATAAAACTAAGATTGCTCAAAAGAATAATTGATAGTAGGCTGACAAAAACAACATAAAGGTGCTTTACACCCAATTGTTTTGATAAGTGTGTTTGATTTAAAAAATTTTTAGTGCAAGTTGATGTGAACCATGAGTGAGGCATGTAACTAGATACAAGAGCTAATCACCGGAACACATGAATTTAAAGGGCCCGAAATGCCTAAGCAATTTCAGTTGTGATAGTGTATTGTCAGCATCGATGAGGGTTGATGAGTTTTGCCACTCAGGTGGACAACGTTATACGGGCCAAATGAAGAGGTGCGGCGGGCCAACTTTTGCCCGCAGGCCCCACTTTGGGCACCCCTGATCTATAGGCATAAGGCCACTTTATTGTCCTCGTAGGGATTTTATTCATCTGTATTTGAGCCATACTTCCAATCTCAATAGGGAAACCTATCAGAAGCAGTGGTCCAAATTACCTTTACCAAAGTATTATAAACATAGTGCATGTTTTGGGAGGACGATGGGGCAGTTTGGCAGTCCAGCTTTGCCACTGCAGCACTGTCATGTATTTTAAGACAATTTTAGGAATGTTCTTTGTGTAGCAAGATATAGCTGTGTTACCTCAAAAATATTGATAGCAGAAATATAAATAGCTGCAATATACCACTATCTCCTTAAATCAACAATGGACTGGTTACTTGAGTATTAGTATTATTAGAGTATTACAATTTGTCTGAAATAAAGAGCCACTTGAAGTCATGATTTTGATATTTTGAGCAATGTATTTGTATACATAGTAGGACAATGACATGACTAATGATGTATTTGTCTTTATGTACACGTCATTTAGAGGGGCTTAAAAATGTCTTCAAACTATAATTTCACCAGATGGAGCACATGTCGCTGCTGGTGTTCAGCCTGAGATCTGTGAACTCAAGTGCTGCAGGTGTTGGGCTTTGATTAATATCCAAACTAACTGGATTTCACCAATGTAACGGGCAACTTAAAAGAGGGTAATTATGCACAAATCTAACAATTGTTAACGGAAAATGTTCTATTTCATTTATGTCTAGGTACATGTGTTTTTGAAATTAAGAAAAACTTGCATAGTTTATTTCATTCTACTTAAAATGGTTTGCTATTTGGTGCCAGCCAAAATGGTTTGTATCTGAGACAAAACGTTTTTATTTTTGTGAATGTCTCTGGGTACTCACTCAGCATGCCCATTCCCAGCATGAAGGCATCCATGGTGTAGGGCAGACCCCGGGCTCTCCCTCGCGTGCCCGGTGGGAACATCACCTCCTTGGGCTGGGCCTTCTTACATTCTACCTATGGAGACAGACACACACAGACACATGTACACAAAGGGCATTAGTCTCTGTAGGCATGCAGGCAGACAGTTCTGACGGGCCTGTCTAAGTTCTTTAAGGCATTTTGTGTTCCACTGCACTGCATGCTTTCCATAGAGAAAAACAAGCCAGAGACAATGGCAACAGCTCATATTTTAGAGTGAGGCCTCAAAGGGAAACTAACAATCATGCTCCTTCGGCATTAAAGCAAAGGTTATTGCTCCAGTGAGCGCATACTGTGGGCCTCAGGGAAATCCAAGCTAAATACTTTCCAACAGTTCTGCAGGCATCAAGGTAGGAGACGCTTTGTTCTACAACCAGAGCCCCACAGCGTGTCAGTGTGTCCGGGCGCTTTACAAAAGCTCCATTTGTACAGCGCTACATCTTTGAGCTAATTCCTATGATCATAAACATTATTATTACTAGAGGGTATCCTCTACTGAAGCAGTGGTGAAGTAATACACAGTGTGGATTTGGTTGGAGTCAGTAAATGTCGTAAGAAAAGAGGGCAAAGTTGCAACAATATGATATCAACATAAAAATGTTATATATTATAGCTATAAACTATGAGGCACTGATTCATTTGTCATGTGAACTCACTGCTAAATTGTCTTTGAAGTTATTGTTAAAGGTTGCATTATTTTTGTATAGGCTTTGAGAGGTGAAGCTATCATCTCAGAGTTAGACATTCCAAGTCCAATAAAACCAATACTATGTACCATATCCCTCGATGAAAGATGCCCATTTTCCGTCTTTGTTTGGCTGTTTGAGATTTAAGTTGTGGTTTAAAGCTGAGCGAGTTGTTTTTATGGCTGATGTTATTTTTTGAATTGTGCCTGAGCGTCTGCTGGGCTCCAGTCCCCAGTGCCTCACAGTCCAATTCCACCTGCAGCACTCATCTTTCGGCTCCGTTCCCTCCTCTCACTTCACTTCTCACACATAGCGCTTTGTTCATTTCCCATCCTGCAAGACTGACATCTCCTCCTCCTACATAACACATATCAAATGAGGGATGTGACAGGGGCAGATGAGGAGGAAGGAGGAAGATGAGAGTCGTATTTACTATCTATCTATCTATCCCATCTCAATGAATTATAGAGGAGGACGAGCTCACATCGAGGGTGGCCTGCTCTTGTGGTGTTGGTTGTTCTTTGGTAGGCCGAGTCTGTTCACCATGCTGCACAATCTATTTGCTCCACTGCCTGCTTGGCATCAGCCTGTCCATCTGTTTGTCTGTTTGCCTCCTGGCTCTTGCCAGCTTCTCCCTACTGCCTCCACTTAAGCGGGGCTTTCTCGGCTGCTGCGATTCACATGTCATCCTGGCCCGCTGCACAAGACAGCCTAGTGCTATGCCAGTGCTGTGTATACACCTCAACCAGGCTACAGCCCGGCATCCATACAAATAGGCTCACAACACTGACAGGCCATCGGTGCACATTACCATTCACACACCAACTCATGCACAGTCTACCACATGCACACCACCTGACACAACCTGCTATTGTACCTTGGCAACTTGAAAAAAGAACGTTGCATGGCTGTGGCTAAATTAATAGAATAACAGGCTGAGTGTATCCAATAGAGGGATGGTCATGTAAAAGGAAGCTCTAATGAAAAAGGTTTCTATCACAGAGAGAAGTTGCTGTGTTGCAGAGCTGTGATTTGTCGCTGTTAGCAGTCCTTTCATTTGATGCAGACCAACTAAAGTACACAGTCCCCTCAGCCACTATGTAGCTGTCACAGCTCCTCTGCCCTCTGCGCTGCCTGGCACGCTTCGACATTGTGCTGAGGAGAGCATGGGCTCTTATCATCGGGGAATGACGGTCAGCATGCAAGTACACACTGGGTGGGACAAATTTCTCTGTTAAGGAAGGTTTCTGCCACTTTCACATATTCACAAGCCCACACAAATAAAAAGACAGATCAAATGTGTGACAAAGGAGATTTTATGTTTTCTTTTTCTATTTATTTCATCTTAAGTGACAGCAAAAGATTGGAAGAAGGAAGAACAATAACAATTATTATCCAAACATGGAATTCTGTTGAGGTTGCTTTTGAATGCATATATTTGAATAGTCCTATGACTAAATCTTGTTGAGAAAATACAACATTAGCAGTTTTGCCCGGCACCTGTGTGTGTGTGCGGTATTGTCTTTCATTGTTTGCCCTGCTCTGCAGAGTTTAGTCTCTTAATCTACCATTTAGACAGTATAAATGGTGCTCAGACCATTGTGCTTTGTTTTGTAAGGGAGCACTCCGATTAACCTGATCATCCCTGGCTGCCAAAATACAAATGTGCATGTGCATTAATATCCATAAAATGTTAACCTTTTATAATGTGTTACTTCAACTGTTTTTTATTTCATCAAACTGTCAGCATCTAATTTACATCAGAATGTCCTCCTCACAACTGTATTGCAACTGATAACGTCCTGAGCTGTTAATCCTCCCAGTCGGGGAGAAACAATCTTTTCCATTTGCTTATTACTTGCATGATGTCAACTTGAATTAGAACCCTCTATGTCCCCTTTGACAACTTGGGCTGTGTAATAGTCAGTGTGAATGAAAAGATCCATAAATATGTGGCTCCAGTCTAACATACAAGTGCATTAAAGGGGTGGTCTTGGATTCTGTCCAAGAAACCTGCAGTGCAAAGTAAATCAGGCGTTCCCAAAGGAAAAGACCCAGAAACCCTGTGAGAAGGTAGAGCAGATGTTGACATTTGCTGTAGCCGGAGGATACCAGAGACGAGCTGGTTAACACTGATTTAATGTGCTTGTATTTTTGTCTGAAGATGTGTCAGTCACAGTTCTAATGTAAATACTGTGTGTGGGGGAAAAAAACTATGCATAAGAGTGGCTTTAACTCTGCATAATTGCATCTGCTTTATTGCTTTCATATTGTTCATAGAGTACCTGTTTAACATTTCAAAAGCTTAAAAAAGTATTAATTCCCATTTAGCAGAACACCCAAAATTAATTGCACTATTTAAAGTGCATAAGCGCACGTTCACACTTGTTTCTCTTGTTCACTTTAACCGGATCAATAGCTTGCATTCATGTTCTAGAATTGTATTTCAGTCAGAGGGCAGGTGCCAATACAACTGTATAGTAAAAGAAGCAATTTCAAAGAGCAAAAAAAAAAAAAAGCCTATATGTTTCCCAGATGTGATCCAGTATTGAAAGTCATTTCTAAAGGTCAACATCATGCATATACTTTTTGTATAATGTGGATATGTACTGACAAAACATGTAAAACTTTGTGACAGTTTTTGAATAGATGTTATGACTTTTGACATATACCATAGTTACTATAGCTAACAGGAAAGATTTCCCAGCGACCCTCCATTACAACTGTAAACAATAATCTCTTTGGAATGTTGTGATGTCACATAAACATAACCTGGTTCAATTGGAGCAAAAAAACTTTTTATGAACGTAAAGCCACAAGGGAACATGGGTTAACTTAAGACAGTTCACATTTTTGGACACAGATATGGGAAGCATTTCTCCCAAATGAACCAGACTTGGTCCAGTTAAAGTGAACCAGTCTGAACGCAACATTACTTTGTGTACAAAATAATGTTTTCAGTTTAACTGTTGTATCAGCAAATCAATATGAAAATAAAAAACAGCATTTGTTTTGTCTACAACTGGGAATGCCGCTGCACAACGTTAATAAATGCAGACAAGCACCCAATGATCATGTGTGCTGTAGAACAACACCGCAGAAAAACAAGAGCCTTTGTTTTGCCCACGTGAAACAGAGTGGAGCGTTCCCCAGTTATGACCTTTTCAATACATCTTTCGTACATATTAACCTTGTGGGTGGAGCAGGGAGGAGTGAGCGGGATGGACCCGGGATGACTGTCCTTCAGGGATGAGCCTGGTCTACCTGTGTGTGAGCATGTGTGTGTGCGTGTGTGCGTGCATGTGTGAGAGAGGAGGAGATGTACCACTATTAGCTCCACTAGTGAATGGATTCAATCAACAAACTGGCAGAGTGAAGAAAGGAACGGTGTGATTCATTTACTCAGGCTTCCACTCTCAGCTCGACAGTCAAAACACATAGACTGAATAGTTTGGAAATGTCAGAGCTCTCAATGCACAATGTCAGGTGTGGTAAGGCCGCTTATTCATTTGAGGGGAAAAGCTGTTACACCAATTTAACAAGTGGTTATTTAAGGAATGAAACAGCTCCTATGTTAAATCAAGGTGAAGAAATGAGAGTGTGCAGACATCTTGTGGTGGAATCATCAATTCAAGTTTATGAAAAATTACACTGCTTTTTTTTAACAAGCAAGATACTACTGCATGTAGCAAGGAAAGGGATAGGTTAGTACTGCGATGGGAGGTTGTGTGTGTGTGTGTGTGTTTGATTGATTTGTGGTGGCTGTTGGAGGGGCCATTGGCACATATGGTTGCTTTGCTTCTGTCAGTGTTCCCCATAATAGCCGTGCTTAGAATCACTTTTTTTTTTTTACTACCAGAAAGTAATGGATTATTGCTTCAATAGACAATATCAAAGTATTGGATTCTTAAACATCTTCATATAGTATACATTAATTTAGTTGAAACTAATACTCTGACACTCTGTATTCATGTTTGAATGTGTGTGTTATCCCCATTTAGCAACAGTGGGTTAGCTGGATCACCGTCTTAATATCTAGTTAATCCCAGGCTAACATTCTGTCACTTGGCTTTTAGACATTGTACAGAATCCATATGCTGCGACCATGATAATTTCATTATCATTATAAGTCGCAAATCAATGTGGCTGGATTGAATATGGAAATGTGGGGACTCTTTTTTATTATATATTGAGATTAAATACATAATAGTCGAGAGGTGCCATAGATTACCACAAGATAGCTGACAAAAGCACAATAGTCTTTCATCAAAAATGTTGTATTGATGTGTGATCCTGTAGCCCCAGATACATTTTAATTACGCTGAAACAGTCCTCAACGCATCAAGGGAG